ACGTGGAGGAGTCAGAGGCAAGCAGTAGTGTTAGCATTTCCCACTCTGCCTCAGCCACCGGGAATGTGTGCATTGAAGAGATCGATGTTGATGGCAAGTTTATCCGCCTGAAGAACACTTCTGAACAGGTAAGAGGATTGACCCATCTCCCCAGGCCTGCTTTACAGACTGCTGAGCTGCTGTGGATAGTAATAGCTGTCCACCATCTGTTTGCTTCAGTCTTAAGGACTTTTGTGGCCTGAAGAGTTTCCTTGTTCTTTCTTATGCTTATTTATTGTGGTGGTAAGGATGGTGTCTATGTGCTACAGTTGGGTATGGAGGTCAGAGGAGTCATCTATCCTTTCTCCATGTGGGGTTCTAGAATTGAACTCAGCCTATCAGCTTTAGTGGCAAACACCAGTACCCATTAAGCTATCTTCTCAGCCTAAGATTTTCTTTGTGAATCTTGTTTATGAAGCTGCTTGACCTCTGACCTAGACTTGGCCGGTTCATGATGGCCTTCCCAAAGGTAAATTAGAAGTTTTCTGTAGCCAGATTGGCAAAATTGCAATTATTAATAAAAGCTTTATGGAAGGATGTGGGTGCAGGCTCAGGTATGTTGAAGGAGCCTTCTCAAAGTTAAAACGAATGAACAACTGCCCATGATCTGATTTATATAGAAATAGTAATAATGTGAATTTCTGCCTAGGCATAGTTTGTGAGCAGGAAGTCTCCACTGCAGGGACTTCTGAGGTGTGGAAACTGGGACTTTAAAGAGCTCTGCGGTTCTGATGGAATTGTGAAGATGTAGGGTGGTGCTGGAGGAAGCAAGAGTCTCAGGGCACGGGGGAGAGAATGTCACTTGGAGCATCAGACAGAGGTCTGCTAAAAATTGTGAGATCACTCCTGTCTCACCAGACTATTAGAACTGTGTGCATGTACATGTGTTTACGGAAGTCAGACAGCACAGGCAGCTCAGCTAGAGACAGGCTCTGGGGCTGCTTGGCCACAACTTGGAAACAGAGTAGCGGCCATTGCTCTATCCTAGTGTTTGTTTCCAGATTCCAGATGCACAGCTGCTGGGAGTGTGCAGCTGACCTCAGCCTGGAGGGTAGGGAACCTGATGGCTTTGCTGTCCTCATGCCTCCCCACTGGGCAGGTGGGGCTGGGGTTGATAATACTCAGCCAGTCTGGCTTCTTGCTCTTTAGCTTGCTTTTTAAACTCTTAGTGACAACTTAATTTGGGCAAAGCTGACACAGTTGCAGAAGATAAAAACAAAATTCCCCCTTATCTTTGTCAACCATGAGTGTCTATAATTTGAAATGGAAAACTGACAAACATTTGTGTTTGTGGTTTTGATGGCTCGATTGTGTTGCAAATCATAAAGACATTCTGACTTAGCAGTGAACAGTGTCCTTTGTTGTGTTTTCATGTCTACCCCTCTTTTGTCCCCTTTAAAATTCAGACCCTTCCTGGTGGGGTGCAGCGGTCACGAAGTTACTCTTTGCTGAGAGACAGGGTTCAACGCATTTCATGGGAAGGCCTGAGCTTCAGAGCCTTTATGGGTTCATGGATGTGATTGTTTCATAATTTCCTGTATTTGTGAAGTAACCCTGTTATATTGTGTTTTGTGACTAGGATCAACCAATGGGAGGCTGGGAGATGATCAGAAAAATTGGAGACACATCAGTCAGTTATAAATATACCTCAAGATACGTGCTGAAGGCAGGCCAGACTGTTACAGTAAGTGAACTCAGTCTTATCTTAATCACAGATAAATAGTTAACAACAACAACAACAAAAACCAAAACAACAGTTTGGCTGTTAAAGAGCAGCATTTTGGAAGTGTGCTTTAAATGTCTTTATATTAGTAGGGTATTATGTGTGCTATTAAAGATTTAAAAATTCTGCCTTCAGAGTGGTGAGAATTATTGATGTTTGGAGTATGTTGTTTTCTGTTTCAGTGGGTATAATAACATAGTTCCCTTTTGACTGATACTTGCCCCTAATGCAATCTGGCTTCTGTACATCGTGAAGAATTGTAGGAAGCTAATACTGGTGTCAGCCTAAAACAGCAGCTGCCTAAATTGCTTTGACAAACTTTAATACGTTGATATCTTGACTCCACCTTACCCTTAGCTGTTTTCAGGGTTGGAGGTACAGGATTTAAGCCACCAAGTATAGTTGGTTGCACATGCCTGCAACTCTTCCACTTGGGAGGTTGAGGCTAAACATTGTGAGTTCAAAGCCACCTTGGCCTGCATAATAGCAAGACTTTGTCTCATGATGTCCTTGGACTGGAGAGATGAACCAGTTGAAAGCACCTTCTGCAGCTCCAGGCAGGTGAAATCCCAGCATACCAGGGAAGGGAGATGCGAAAAAGCTCATCACTCTTTGGTATTGGCATTTGTTAGCTGTGAGGAAGGACACTTCGTTGCCTTCAATGATTTGACTCCTAACAGACTCATCATGTCCCAATCCCAAGACTGGCTGGGCAACAGGACTTGATGGAGAAAGAAGGAAAACAAGTAATCTCAAAGTTGATGGGGAGGCTGGGAGGGAGAGGGCAGTAAGGGGAGGGACAGGGGTGGGGCATGAGTATACCCAAAATACTTCCATATGAGAAATCTCAGAATTAATTGGAAGAAAACAAAAAAGCCAGATGTGGTGGTACATGCCTTTAACCCTGGCCTAGGGAGGTAGAGGCAGGTAGATCTCTGAGTTTGAGGCCAGCCTGGTCTGTAGAGTTCCAAGATAGCCAGGGATACACAGAGAGAAACCTGGTCATGAAAATCCAAAAACACCCACTTGCTTGCTATTCCAGACTTTGACTATCAGTTTGAGTCCTAGCACCCATATCCGGTGGCTTAAAACCACCTGTGAATTCAGATCCAGGGGACCTGACACCCATCCTCTTCTGGACTCTGAAGGCACCTATATAAATTTACAAATGCAAATAAAACAGACCCCCCTGTACCCCCCAAAAGTCCTCCCAGGCAGGGATGGTACCCTGGTATTATTCAGAGTGCAAGGCTTTTGGTATAGCATCATCTAAGTTTATAGATTTTGAGAGGTGAGCTAAATGGCATTCTAATTCTTATTCTCACTTGGCTTCTATCCATATGTTCTATAATACATTTTAAACAGTAATAGATTGGGTTTTAGAGAAGTGTAAGTCATAGCAAACAAAAGATTCCTTTGTTTTTACTTAGCAAGCAAATTATGAAACAGTAAAATCTGTTGACTTTATTGACTTCAAAGAATGGATGTTACTGCTCATTGTTTTTATGGATTCCTTAGAAAAAATGGCAAGTGCTGCCAAGTGTGGTGAGCACACTTAACAATCCTAGCACTTGGGAAAACGGAGGGTAGGGGTTAAAGGTCATTCATAGCTTCACAGTGAGTTTGAGGCCAGCCTGGGCTATACGAGATCTTGTCTCAAGAAAGCAAATGAGCTGTTTATAGCACATTTGTTGTCCCCCCCTGTTTTTTCCCCCCTTTGAGACAAGGAGGTCTCTGTAACTTGGCTGTCCTGGACTTGCCCTGTACAAATCAGGCTGGCCTTGAGCTCAGCTTGCCTCTGCCTCCCAAATTCGGGGATTAAAGGCTGACACCATCACACCCGGCCTCCCCCTCCCTCCCTTTCTGACTTTGAAGTGATCACAATTCTGTCTCAGCCTCCCACATATTTATACTTTTGATCAGTACAAACCTTAATGTTTAAGATCAAAGGCTCAGAATGCAGGTTAGAACTTGTAAAGTGTAGAGAGCTAGAGAGCTTTGCCATCGCTCTGAAAATAGCAGGTGTTAATTTTGTAATAATGGGTGAAAATGAGAACAAATATCCTAACTACTCTATTCTTCTCTTTAGTAATTATAGTGAGAGAAGACTGCTTAGTTCTAGTATATGTCTTAGGGAAACTGCATAATGTGTTTAAAGAATTTGGTATTTTAATTCACAAGGTTTACATTTGAATATTCCCTGTCTCTCCTAATGTAGAGCCATTATGCCAATCACCTGCTTTTCTTGCAGGGTGTACTACACCCAAGGACTAAAAGAGATTGCTCCTGT